ACCCGATTCAATCGACTGAAAATTTGCAACGGGTTCGATCCAATCATGGACCACGCCTCTTGCCTGTAATCTCGTTCATGAAAGATGACAGTCCTGCAAAGGCAGAACTGCTTAGAGGCAATCTAGAGTCTCTATAAAAAGGAGCAAAAAAAACAAAGAAGCAGGAGGGTAGAGGAGGAGAAACCCAAAAAAAAACAAACAGCAATTAACCCAAAAAATTGGCAAAACAAGAACGGAGAAAATCACCCAAGAACAGAGAGGAAAACAGAGAAAACCACCAAAAAAATAGAGTAGAAATAAAAATCCAAATACAGAGAAAAAGAAAGAACAAGAGAAGAGCACACAGTGAGGAGAATTATCCTTGAAATTGTCTTCGAACCTGCAAACAAAAGAAAAACCGAATTCAGCCACAGAACACTCACAGCAAGCCATAATCTATTGAGAAATCAAGAGGGAAAGCACGGACAAGGGGTCACAGACAGAAGACTAGAAGAAGCAGTAGGCGGGAACCATCATCAGCACTGCAAGCACCTTTGGTCTCTAGAAGCAGGATCTTCGATCTCTAGAAACAGGTATGACTCCGTTTCCTTTTGCATCATCATTTCACAAAAGGTAATTCAGTGTTACAAGAACACTGTGTGAAGGTAATTTAATTACCTTCACCAGTGTTCATGCACGCGTGAATAAGTCACACGTGCCTTTATCTTTTTGCCCAGCCCCTGTGGGGTTGGGCTGAGCCCAACCACCAATATATATGTTGGGTTGGGTTTAGCTCAGCCCAGCCCATGTGGGCTAAGTTGGACCCAGCTCAAAAATAAAAAAAAAATATAAAATAAAAAAATAAAAAGATTCCAAATGTGTAAAAAACAAAAAAAAAATGAATTTGTTGTTTTTATTCATTGAAATTAGAGTCAGAATAAAATATTGATTCAAATTTATTTCATTGAACTTTGTTTAATTTCATAAAAAATAAAAATAGATAAAAAATAAAAATAAAATAAATTTATAAGTTTATTCACTGACGCCAGAGTCAGGAATAAAGGTAATAATTTATTTTATTTTATTGTCTTTTACTTAGTTACATAAAAAAATATATATGCATAAAAAAATAAATAAAATTGTTTGATCTTTTTATTCACTAACGCCAGAGTCGGGAATATAAAAAAATACTGATTTAAATTTATTTTATTTTTACCCTTTTTTATGATGCATAAAAAATAATAAAAAAATAATAAACTGATTTTATTTTTTATATTCACTAACGCGAGAGTCAGGAATAAAAAAAAAGATATGATTTAAATTTATTTATTTGGATACCTACGTAATATTTACCAACGCCAGACTTGAAAATATCCGTAAGTGAATATTCACTGGCGCCAGAGTCAGGAATATTACATACAAACAATCATAGTATAAATCAAAAAAAAAAATATTAGCAATTAATGACAAAGATCAGCAATGCAGCCTGCCTTAGGCAGGACGTTTAAGGGGTGATAATATCTTTCCTTTTATGTAATCAGTCTCGGACCATAGAATCTCTATTGACTAGTTAGGGTTCCTAGTAACCATAATACTAGGTGACGACTCCTTAAACAAAGAATATCACCATCAAAGAATAGGATGCCAGAAATCCGTTCTTTCCAAAGATTTTATTATATTTTTAAGGTCGCCGCGATGTCGGGCGCGACATTAATTTTTAGATCAAAGTCATCTTCTTGCTTTCTTTCTATATCTTTGTAATGTTCAAGTTTTCTTTCATGCTATAGTAATATCTTGTTTATGCTCTTTCATTTCCTTTTCTATACTTAGTTAACTTATATTATGTTTATGTTCTTATATTGTTTATTTATGTTTTTCTCCTTCTTAATGTTTAGCTAAGTTAATTATGTTAAGGTGAAAAGGTTTCTCTAATGGTGTTAGAATAGGTATAATACAAACTCAATATGGACTTTAATGTTTATATCCAAGAAAGATTGTTATTAACATGTTTTATCTTTTTATCTTACTAATTCTTAATACCTTGCTTATTAAATAGTTAATCTAGATTTGTGTTGTATAACTCTTGGTACATCAAATGCTTGATCTTTCGTAGTCTTCGGTTGACATCGTTATTATGATAGAAACTTGATTTGTTGTTAACATAAACTAAAAACATAAATGCTTGATGATATTTATAAGTATGGTGTTACTTAGATAAGATGATTAATATGATCATGTTAATAATTTATAATGAGCTAATAACGAGAAATCATCCAATTGGAACCTTTTTTATGTGTGGTTTCCAGTTGAGTAATAAAAAGAGTTTATATTATATTTATTTGAAGTACCATTAGTGAATTCTATAACCTTGACATATGTTTTATTATTGTTTAATCCTTACATCAATATCACATCCCAAAACTTTCTTCAACTCCTTTTCTGTTATTATTCTCTTCAAATCTTTTTTTATTTGTAATTTATATAATTAATCTCCCTGTGGTTCGACCCCGGTCTTGCCGGGTTATTTTACTTTGACATTCCTGCACTTGGGATAATATTTTGAACCTCATTTGAGAACGAGAATCAATCGCGTTTCATGGCATGATAATAGTGGTGAAGTGCCTTCTAGTGGAAATTTGTCAATATTCTCCAATCTTAGATGACTCATACCTAAAAATACTGTAAAGAAAAGATAAAAATTTTGACCACGTGTACTCATCTATAATTATCGAGGAAATTATCGACGGATTATGAAAATTCTGGAGGGTTTTTTAAAAATTTAAGTGTGAAATGAAAAATTCAAAATGAATTCACCAACAAAATCTTCGAAGGAGAAATTAAAAATAATATTATTTAATAGTTTGTTGGTGAGTCTACCAAAAAAATCATAGTACAAATCCGCCAAAAGCCCCTTCATTTTTTTTCTCCTCTCATTAACTTCTTCCTTTTTCAATCCAAAATCTCTCTAGTTTTTGTGCTTTTAATCTTCATCTATGGTTTTATCTTTATATTTAAAATTTAAAAGGCATGTATTGTAATACAAGTTACTTAATGATTTTCAATTTTTCAACTTTTCCTTTTGTTTTATTAACAATATATTTTTGTTTTTTTTAATTGTACATAGATAAAGTTTAGAAATAAACCCATTATTAAGGTACATATTTTTCATTCTTAAAGTCTATAGTTTTTTTTTTAAAATTTGTTGCCTATTTTATTTTTTTATTGCCATAATAATTGATTATTTTGTTAAATTTTAATTGTTATTGTTGAATTTTAGTAGAGTGTTTGATTGTTTTCATAAATTTTAATTGTTATTGTTAAATTTATATAGATGTTAGTTGAATATATAAAATTAAATTAAATTTTTTTTCCTTTATTTTATTGTTAAATTTGTATAGATGTTAGAAAGATTTTATTATCATTTTAAAAAATATGATATTGTTGGTATAAATAAAATAAAATCAACTAGTTTATGGCATATATATTGTCAATATTTACAGGTTTGAAAAATTTAGGTAGTCCCCAGTACAAAGGAGGTGTTGCTAATTTTTTTTTATAATAATTGAATTTGATTATATAACTATTCGTTCAATTTGTGTAAATATATAGAACGAAATCAACAACACATCGTGAACATGTGGTCGTAGCTAGTTCTTCTAGCAATGAGGATGACATGTCCTTAGGTGTCGATCAAGAAGAGGTACCTGCATCAACTAGCGATGCTGTCTCTTCCAGCGCGGTTCCATAGCGTAGAGACAGTCTGTCTTCAGAATGAGGTCAATTCATCAGTAAGTGCAAAGCACATTAAAAGGACGACATTCCAATGTAAGTTTTTTTTTTAATTTGTAACATAATTTGTGAACAATTAATTAATATTTCATTAATTTTATTTATTTTTAGGTTCATAGATATTGAGGTCGTCTGAGTAATAACATCGACATTTAAATCATTGATGGAGATTTTATTATTTCAAAGGAGTTAGGTTTCTAGATATCCTGATTGAAAACCTTATATAGATGCATGGTTTCAAAGATTTAAGGTTGGTGTTAACTTTCAATTTTATTTATTTTTAATAAATTATTAATTTTATTTTTAATAAATTATTAATTTTATTTTAAATAAATTATTTATATACAAAACAAATTCAAGTGGGATAACGCTCATGACAATATTACGAGGAGGGTATGAGACAATCACACGACAACTAGATAACATTGAAAACGATACAATATTTTTTTTTTAAATATGTTTTAAAATCTAATTCATCATTAACTCATATAAAATTCATTGATAGAAGTAGAGTGTGTGACTTTTGGTATGAAGTGCAGAAAAAAACTACAAAATATGACAAAGATAACAATCTACAAGGCTGAAATGACATGGCGGTTTGGAGGAATTTTAGGTTGCCATACATCCCAAAGGATATATGACCGCAATATATCCAGCACTTGATGTCTGAGTGTTTCACACAATGCTCACAGTTCAATGCCAACAACCGTAACTGGCATTATAGTTTAGTGACCATGCATATCGGTGACTCTGTTCTATTCATTGTACATGCGAAGTGGATAATAAGATTAATTTTAATGAAATCTATTATTAATTAATTTTTTATTATTTATAAATATATTTAACTTGCAATATTTTCTTCTTATAGGCTACATCCAAGCCCAATGAAGTTGTTAGTAGAGACATGTATGGAGTGAAAACTGTCAAAGAGGGCTGCAACAGTTTGTTGACAACCATGCTAAACACTTTTTGGTATGTTCGTTTAACCATTTTTTTCATAAGTTATTATTTTCTTGAATTGAATATGATAAATTTTTTTAATTTGCAGGAGACAATATAATAACCAGTTTAGAAAAAAGATATGGGGCTGATCCTTCGACCCACCTGGATTTTGATCCTGATTTGTGAATGGAGGCAGGATCGTCAGGTGGACTTAATAAAAATTGGGTGTATGGTCAATGACCAGCCTCCTCCTCCTCCTCCTCCAACTCCGTCATTGTTCTATTTCAATTTGTTTTTGGAAACACTTTAAGATTGTAATGAATATTTGGATAATTATTTGTATTTTATAATATTTAATTTAATTTTTATATTTTTAATATTTTATACAATTTTATTTGCTTAATTATATTTTTAGTATTAATCTATACAATTTTATATTATTTATTCTACACAATTTTATTTTTAAAATATTTTTAAATTATCACTGATGGATTTATAGATGGAATTATACCGTCATTATTTTCTAAAAAATTGAAAAATATTTATTGTATATGCCACAATAACTGATGTCGTTATTTCATCGGTGATTTACCGATGGCCATACAAATAGAATAATGTTGTCAGTATATTCCAAACAATTTGGAAAAACATTACTGCTTATGCCAATATCATTAATGATTCTATCGGCATATTTTTAATGAGAATTTTTTTTGGCACACATTTTTCATCTATAAAACCATCAATGTTTATTTTTTTTTACCAACAAAATTAGCAACAAAATATCAAATTACCGATGAACTTTGTTTCGACGAAAAAATTTTGATGGTGAATTAGTCGGTAAAATCATTACCGATAGAATGGTAATCTTACACTGACAAAAAATATCTGTCGGTAAAACTGTTGAATGTTGTAGTGCTTATGGTTTGTTAGTGATTATTAATCAACAGAAGTTTTTGTGTTAGATTTATAGTTAAACTTTTAAATGATTGTTATTTATGGTAGTTTTATGCAAGGATTTTAAGGAAATTTATGTTTAATTTAGGCATGGGTTTGAGGCAAAATATATTGAAATGAGTTTGAAATGAAAATGGGTTTGCTAGATTTGGATTCAAATTCATCAATAATCATGAAAAATTAACTGAAATTTAATTATAGTTGGATTTGTTGTGAGATCTTGAAAAAAAACTTGTTTAGAATAGTTTATAATATTGGCACAATATGAAGCATAACAATCCAAAAATTAACCGCTCAATGCCTCTAAAAAAATAATTAGTGTAGATGAAGAAGAAGATGATTTTACGAAATACAAAATAAAATTAGTTTAGTGACCATATAAAAATAAAGAATAGAACCACCTTTAAGTAGTTAGGTTAAAGATATATCTTAAAAATTAAAAGAGCAGGAATAACACCCCTTTAAATATTTAGGTTAAAAGGGTATTTTAGTGCTTCAATCAATTTAAAACTAGAGGATAATAAAATTTATTTATAATCTATCATTTTTTGAAATAAAAAAAAATTCACAACCTATTAAAAAATTCAAATTTTTATCTTTTTTTTCAAAAAAAAGTTTTAAAGGTTTCTAATATGCATGATCAAACTTTTATATGATTTGTTTGTATATTTGGTAATTTTTAAATTAAAATATTTGTGTTAATAGCATTGCAATAAAATTTTTATTTGTGTTTAACTTAATATGATGACAATTTGTATACTTATATAATCTAAAAGGTGAAAATGGGTGAATATTAGTCATGAATAAAATCACCTAGTTTTTAGCTTTATTTATTTATGCAAATTTACATGTTATAAAATTTTAGAAAATCTCCTGTACAAGGGAAGTGACATCAATTTGTTTTTAAATTAGATATAATGAGAATGTTATTATATTTTTTATGTTTAACTTATTTACATGATAAAGAGAAGGTCATTAATGACTAATAAGGATATGAGCATTGTTGGTTCTTCTGGCAGTGCTTTTAAGAACTATAAGTTGCTGAGTGCTGATCATGACAAGGCACCTAAGACATAGGCACCATCTCTGGATGCAAGCTTGTTGAGTGCGATGTTGCCTCACAGATGAGATGTGCCTTCTAAGTAGGATGTATACACTGGAAAGTACATTGCTTAGAGGAAGCTCGATCACAACATGTAAGTTTGTTTCCTTTTCCTGCACGATTAAAAAATAAACAACAATAGATAAATTTTGAATAATTAATTTCAATGAACATATGAAATTCCAAGTTTACAAATATAAAGGTTGCTCGTACAATAACATCAACAATGAAAACTTTGATAGAAGTGTCTTTGTTTTAATGTAGTTAGGTTTTTAAAATTTAAAAAGTTCTATATTTTTTTTTAAATGTTCAAATTATCTTAACCGATAATTTTTTTTCTATAATATAGGTTATGTGATTTCTATTATAAGGAAAAAAATAATAATAATCAAAGAGATATGCAAAAGAAAGAGGTATTCTAGGTAAGGAATATTTCACCATGTAGAGGGATTTCAGACATTTGCACGTGTCAAAGAAAATCAAGAAACCTTGTATCCATCACATGATATTTGGGTGTTTCGTGTAGCTATCCTAGTCTGTTGTGGAGAACTAGAATAGGAAGATTCATTGTTCAATTACCTACACACTGGCAGATCCATTTCATTTATTTCACAAGTAAAACAGATAATAGGATTATATTTTATTACATATTTTTTTATAGAAAAATGTTTTATATGAAAAAGCTTAACTAAAAGTAGCTTAATTTTGCATGTTACGGTTCTTTGAAACTCACATGCAAAATGAGAACCTTCAGAAAGTGGTGTGGTAGCTCGTGGATAGATGAAATCAAAAGTTTATGGAAAGCTGGATTTCAAAAATAAATTTTCTTAAGTTATTATTTTTTAAAAAATTTCTTCAAGAAACATATAACACCTGATTGCATGAGAGATACATGGACAATCCATTGACACACCAAAACTCAATCCAAATTTATGGTTAAAAGTTGGATTGTTTGATGGACCTGATAGAAATTAAGTTTATGATATTTCAAACACTATAGCCGAGAATATATGAATGGGCCATAATGATTGGTTCCTTACAATTATTTATGAGCTCCCAATCTCTGATCATTTAAACAATTATATGAGAATAAGTTGAAACTTAGATAACCCAACTTAATGCTGAGATGGTCTAACTTAGATCCGAAATTGTTGAATTTAAGTGATTATATAAGAAGATGTTGTCAAGCCTCGGTGGTTCATGTGGTTTATCTTGTCTCTTATTTGATTTGATAAAGATCCGTCTTTGCCTCCTCCTCCAATTTTTGTCCTCTAGATAAATTTTAATGAACAATATTTTTAAAATTAATAATAAAAAAATGGTTTTTTATTTAATTTTATTCCTTGTAATTTTTTTATTTTAATTATTTAAAAAAATATTACATAAACTAATGATGAAATTACTAACAGAATGCTAATCATAGATGAAATAACCGATAGAATAAATCCCTTAGGAAGTTCTAGATAGTTAGGAAACAAATACAAGTCTTTGCCACTGTAATTACAGATAAAATTATCAATGAACTAATCTCATCATAAAGTTCTAAAGAGTTGAAAAAAAGTTATAAGAATTTCCACTAGCATTATATAATTCACTGACATGTTAATTCCGTTGGTAACATTAGTTCAATAATAGATAAGATTACCTTTGATTTATTCTTGGTGATTTGTCATACTCACCACTAGAATTTCCAATCATGATAATAATTAATTTTGTTTTGTTTGACATGTTTTTTTTATTTGTAACTTTATTGGGGATTAAATTACTAGTAGAATAACCTACATAATAAAAATAATGGATAAGTTTTTCGACAACCAATTACTGTTCATGATGCTATTAATAAATTTGTTTCAGATAGAATAGTTTATAGATATTATGTAATATTCTGGTTATGAAACTATGACATTAATATTTTTTTATAGGATATTGAGACTTTATTTTCACATTGAAACAAGGTTTTTTTTTTACTTTATTTTCATATTGAAACAAGGTTTTTTTTAAATCTTTTTAGAATCTTGTTGGAACAATTTATTGGATAGTTTTATAAATGGATACATTTTTTAAAATATTTTTATATTTATGAACATATTTAGCTGTTGTTAATTATATGGTTATAGGTTAAAAATGATTTTGTTTACATATGATTAACTAGATATATTAAATTACTGATTCTAAAAAAATTAAAATTATTCATTCAATCAATTATATATATTAGATAAAAAATAGATGCATATGACAGCTATCCGAATGGGTATTTACAATCCAATTGTTTGAATATGGTTATCCAAATTCTTACCTGATAGATAATGATTAAGTTATGATTATTAATCTTTCATTTAAATATAGTTATGGTTATATTAACATCCAAAACCGTGAGTATCTATTATCATAGTGCTCGTGTTGTTCATGGATCAATATTTCCATGTCTCATATAACATTTTCAGACAACCTTAAACTGGTCACTAACATATAGCTCAAGTGTCGTTTGAGTTCCAAATTTCTCTTGTTAGTAGAATCTTGAATTTATTATTTTATTTTTCATTAGATATTTCCACGGATACCTTTCACAACTTTTAATTGGAAAACATCAAATCCGTACTAAATGGCGTTATTCTTAGTGAACGAACACATAACCCATTAGCAAACATGCATAAAGGGATTCAATTGGGAATTTTATATGTAGTTAAGGGATATGAAATTTGAGGTAACATCTCGGATACTTCAAAGGGACATTGGGGAGGAAATAACAAGAACAAGAAGAACACAAAAGTAGAAGGCAGTACTGTATAGTAAGCAGTACTCTACGGGATCCACCTTAGCTCCATGTGCACATAAATCTGACTAGTTATTGAGATCATAGTAGTCAAAACACTCGTTCCCAATTGCAATGATGATAAAGCAGGTTTTTGGAACCGAACAGTACTTGGAATAAAAACACAATTTTCACTATTTTGTCATAGCGGCCACACCACCTACTGCCTGAGTGGAATCACAAAAAGAGAAAGCGAAATGGACCCAAACAGCAACTACCACATCATGTTAATTTAGCAGTAGATCAGTATATCCATGGATAGATAGGTTTTGTTTCTATAAAATAATAGGATGGGATTTCTATTTTCTATGATAAATTGAGATTCTTGGAGTACCCCAACTCATCGCTCTTACTTTGACAACTCTTATAGTCAGGCAAAGATGGTTTCAA